AACCCAGCGAAAGTGAGGAGGAAGAACAACCCAAAGGCAAAGGCGGAAAGAAGACATCCAAACCTAAGAAGAAGCCTAGCCCGAAGGAAGAGAAGGAAGAGGATAAGATGGACGATGCGGAGCTCGAATGGGCCCATCGCGAACGAGCCCATGAGCTTAGAGCACTGGCCAAGGAACTTGGAGGTCGAATTCGCTCTCTCCGGTTCTTCCAATGCGTCCGAGCTTTTCAAGGAGATGCAAATCTGAGGACTACCTGCCCCCAGTGCAAGCGAAGTAACTTGTTACCGAACGAAGTTTCAATATTATCCTCGTGTGGGCATGTAGGATGCAATGCATGTGTGACTGCAGCTGCCGCTAATGAAGCATGCGTTCAACAAGCTTCCGGAGAATGTAGAGTTCCAGCCAGTCCTCTATTCGTCGTCCCAGCCGATACGTTGGGCCATGACAAGAAGGCGGATGCAGACGGTCGACATTGGGGACAAAAATTGGAAGACATCACCGAGCTTATCAGGTAAGAATTTCTCTATTTATTATCATATACGCTAACTTGACATGTACTCAGGTCACTTCCATCCGATGAACGAGTTCTCATCTTTGTTCAATTCCCCGATCTTACTAAGAAAGTAGCGGAAGCTTTAACCGCTTCCAAGTTGACATTCACCGAGATCAAGGGAACCGCCCTCCATCAAGCGAAAGTGTTGCAAGATTTCCAAGACCCGTCCTCCAAAGTCCGAATCCTACTGCTAAACTTGGGTGATGAAAGCGCGAGTGGCGGGTGAGTGACCTACGAACTCTTTTATGGGCATTACTAATGGCTATATAGGAATCTTACAGTCGCCAATCATGCCGTATTTATTTCTCCCCTGCTAGCCAAGAATCAGTTTGAATATACACAGGCCGAAACACAAGCGATCGGTCGTATTCGTAGATTTGGCCAAATGAAAACCGCGAACATATATCGGTTTGTTACTCGTAGCACCATTGACCAGGAGATTTATACCAACCGTGGTCAAAGTCTCGGTGACCTCTCCAAACGAGTTCAGATTAGCAGGACTATTGCTCTCAAGGATAACGAGGACCTTTCTGGAGTCCATACTAGTGGGATAGAAATGGACACTTCCGAATAATCTTATATCTTAACTTGCATATCTTAGTTTCGTTGCCTTGGACATAACTTCTTAGCTAGCATCATGGATTTAGATGAAGAATTCATTCGTGCATGTTGTCATTATACATAGAGAATGACCTAAAGTCTCGCGTCCAGATGTATTAGTCTGTAAGCGGCCATCCCTTCCTTCGGATTGTCTAGTTTAGTGAGAAATTACAACAACACATTCGGTTGTAAATAATTTTGAAAGATCAGCGATCGATGGGACGGCGTCTGTCCTTGGCCCGAAGCACGCTACGCTGCAAAGTTGAGATGGCAGGTTTGAGTTTATCGAGGTCAGCAGAGGCCAATGCACTATATTTACACTTGTCAGCAGTTGGCATAAATGAGGAAGTAGGACTTGCCCATTGAAATCATTGATGAACTTGACTTTTGCCGGCTCCAATGAGCTGGACACAGGAAGTTGCTCCAATACAGCAGGGACCCATTGTTGCATACTGGTAGTCCAGACCTGAGTGAGAATCCGGACAGTAGTAATCACCCCACTCATCATTTCGGGAGCAAAATGGTCGAGTAACCCCGCAAACAGATTCGTGACCAGATTTGGACCTTCTTTTTGCACAGTAGCAGAGATGGCTTCAGCGTAAAGAGGAAATTCCGGTCGGGCCACAGCCGCAGTTCCACTGATGCAATCGTGTCCCAGTATTGCCCTAATGATACCCAGTGCTCGGAAATTGGTGTCGGTGTTTAAAAGCCGTAACGAGCCTACCAAGATGGAGAAGGCGGTAGGGAAGATGGGAGACAAGAATAGAATATCAGGGCATAGCTCGACCAACGGTGTCAAAACAGAGAGATAGTCATCGACAACTGCCAAAGTGTTAGAGCGAAGGTCTATTCAGTAAAACTGCGACCTACCATCTGAATGGAGCGAAAGTGATGATTGAGAGAAGATAGACCAACACTTCGCTGTGCACCTCTCATAACTCTCCTTCAAAGCACCCCTAATAAGAGGGTCCTCTACTAAACCAAACCGTTGGATGACTTTCCCAAAAGCCCATAAATAGCTTGCAAATCCGGTATTCTCAAACCTTGTAGTGATACAAGCTAGGACGGCAGGGATGACTGGGCCACCAGCTCGGTCAAAGAAGTGAAGACCGAGTCGGAGTACTCGTGTGGACCTGTCACAAATGTCGGTTATCGCACCGTATCTATTTATAATGTCTTCCATTACTGCCCATGTCTCTGGAGCGGTGTTCTGAC